CGCCAATAATCAAACAAATCGCCTGCTTTACGTTTAGGATCGACGTTCTTCCATCACGTTCCTCATCGACACGGGTGCGGAAGTCAACGTCACCCCTGCGAACGCGAACGACAAGCACTTAAAGTCTACGTACAACCTGCGTGCGGCCAAAGGCTCTCCGATAGCTTCATTCGGTCAGTGAATGATGAACCTGGACCTCCATCTTCGCCGAGATTATCAGTGGGTCTTCATGGCTGCGTCTGTACCCTTCGCAAGTATCGGTATCGACTTCCTCCGACATTTTGGTTTGCTTGTTGATGCCGGTCGCCATAGTCTTTTAGACTACCGTACTAAACTAGATATTGATGGTGTCCTTTCAGATGCCCCCGATAATCAGCCCTGTTTTTCGGATCTCAGACGCGACGTCCGACTACTTGAGCCTCCTCTCCGTATACGCTCGACTGGTTCGACCGTCTGCCGAGCTTCCACCAGTCACGCCAGAAGTCGATCACCACATACTGACTCGCGGTCAATCATTTAGCGCACGACCAAGATGGCTTGCTCCAGACAAACTGCGTGCTGCACGAGCTGAATTCTACCGCATGCTTCAGCTCGGTATCTTCAGACCGTCCAGCAGCCCATGGGCGCAGCCTCTCCACATAGTCCCGAAGAAGGTCGTGGGGGCCTGTCGTCCTTGGGGCAACTACCGTACCTAGAATACGGTTATTACGTCTGATCGCTATCCGATCACACACACGGTGGATCTCATTTCCAGTCTGGGGGTAAAAAAGTAGCTTCAGAAAGATAGACTTGGTATGCGCATACAATCAACTTCTGGTAGCCAACGCCGATATAGCTAAAATTGCCACGAAAACTCCATTTGGTTTGTTCGAATTCCTGCGCAAGCCGTTCGGTCTAAACGAGCTACGCAAACTTTGTAATGCTTCATCGACTAAGTTTGTCGCGGCTTGGACTTAGCTTACTCTTATCTTGGCGACATTTTAATCGCGAGGTCTTCACGAGAAGAGCACATGCACCACATACGAACACCTTTTTCTCCCTTATCTCAACATGGAGTGAAGCTAAACGCAGAAATGTGTTTGTTTGGTGTCAACTCAGTCAACTTCCTCGGCCATCGTATCTCCTCCGCAGGCATCGTGCCACCGCAGGATAAAATTCAAGCCATCATCGACTACTCCGAGCCTCATTCTTTCAAACAGCTTAGGCGTTTTGCTTGCCTTCTCAACTTTTACCGACGGTTCATACCAAACTGCGCGTCGCTGATGCAATCCCTCACAGACTTTCTTCGAGAGAAACTCAAGAAATTTTAATTTCCTGCCGCAGCACGCGCTGCTTCTAAGTCGCTGAAAGAGGCTAGCGCCAAAATAGCTTCTATAGCGCATCACGATCCGACCGCTTCACTGATCCTCAGTACTGACGTCTCGGACGTGGCAGTCGGCGCACCTTTGCAGCAGCGAGTAGTCGACACGTACTAGCGCTTATTGTTTTGCTCCAAACCCATACAACATACCGAATCTTGCTACAGCATGTTCGGTAGAGGACTGCAAGCCACATATCAAGCAATACGTCACTTTCGACACGTCATAGCAGGCCGTTCCTTTTCCGTCTTCACTGACCACAAACCCCAGACTTGCGTGCTCGACACGATAACCGACCCATACTCCCCCAGGGAGTCACATCACCTTGACTATATCGCTTAGTTTACGACCGATATACGGCATGTCTCAGGTGTGCACAACGCCGTCGCCGATGAACTTCTCCGAATCCAAGCTATCTACTCTGACGCCGGCACTGTTATCGACTTGGCAGTCATGGCCAATATATAATATGCAGGTCTCCCTCATTGGACATACGACCCGTTCCGCTGACAGCATCAGACGGCACTATACTTTGCAATTTCTCACAGGGCACGCCGCGCCCAGTCGTCCCATGGGAGTTTCGGCAGACCGTGTTCGATACGTTGCACCGCTTGTCTCATCCAGGCATTTATGCATCCCTTAATTTCGTAACCACACGGTTCGTTTGGCGCTTGTCAATCGGGGCGTCCGTACTTGGGCAGCTGCTTTCCTTCTGTTTCATCGCATGAAGGTGCACAAACACACGAGAAGACCAGTATGCACGTTTCCGATACCAGATGCACGTTTCCAGCACATGCACGTCGATTTCCTAGGTCTTCTGCCGCCTTCGAACGGTTATGTGTGTCTACTGACCTGTGCTGATCAATTTACTAGATTGCTTGAGGCCGTCCCTATCCCAGCTTGCTCTTTAGAAACCGTTGTGACAGGTTTTATTTAGAACGCTGGGTTACACAGTATAGCTGCCCTGCCATAGTGACCACTGAGCGTGGGTCACACTTTTCCTCCACATTTGTTTATTTACTTAAAGACTTAGGTTGCCGCCACGTCCAGACTACGGCGTATCATCCGGTCGCTAACGGCATGGTGTAGCTTTTTTACCTCCAGATGAAGGCAGCGCTACGTGCGCACGCAGATCCTTCATGGTCTAAAACACTTCCCCACTTCCTCCTAGGCTTAAGAAATACGGTTAAAATCGATTTCGACGCAACACCGGCGCAGCTAGTCTACGGTTGCACGCTGCGGTTGCCCGAACAGCTGGTAGCACCAGCCTCGTCTACTTCCACATTTGACTACAAAAGTTACATCGAGCGATTAAATCACCAGATGCGTGAGCTACCTCCATCCGCTTCTTGATCGCGGAAGACACAAGTGTACGTGCCCGAGAAGCTGTCTATGTGTTCATACATCCTGCTTCGCGCAGGCGGGGCTCGACTGGCTTTTCAGTCGCCGTGCATAGGACTTTGCAAAGTGCTACATCGTGCGAATAAGAGGTACGCTCTCGACCGTAGTGGCCGACGCGAAGTCGTCACCATCGACCGTCTGAAACGTGCCTTTATGAAAAACACCACCTCGTCTACTTCGTTTGGTAGTGCTTAGTGTGACGTCGCAACGCACTACACCACCTTTCAGCACCCTAGTATAGTCGAACCAGAACACAATCGCGATCTATAAGCATCAGCCGTTCCGACATCTCCCGAATCGAGCCCGCCGCGTCCCACGACCAATCACCCTGGTCGGGAGGTGCGAAGCCCGTTCGTTTCTCCGACTAGGTGCAGTGTAATTACCTTTAGCTTTGTAGATATTGTATATATTTGTCAGGTTTTCGGTCGATTAACGTTGTGAAAACAAAAAATCAAGATCTTCCGAAAACCATTCTTATAAAATATTCAAAACCCAGAAATTCAAACACGCAGATCATTCGCTCGTTCTTTCTGGCATTTGCTGCGCGTGTTTTTATTTTCTCGTTTCTACACGCCCAAACCCTCCCCTTCGATCGACTGGCTTACACGAGCAAAGTTTCTGAGGATCGGCGCAGTCAGCGAAGATACTGGCGCAAACGCTGGTTGTTTCTTCGCGAGGTGTGAGTCATTTCGTCCTGGCACGATGGTCGTTTCTCTGTGAGACGAGTATCGTTTTGGCGCTGGGCGTGGTGCGGCGAGGGAAGAGACCACTTCCAAGCGCACCGTTTGGCAGCAGCTTAGGTTGAGATCCAGTCAGAATTTTTCTGGACTAGCCAGTTTTGTTGTAGTCAGACAAGCCCGCTCCAATGGCTCGCTGAAATGCACTCTGCCCTGCAATCAGTAAATAATAAAGCACCAAAGGCACGGAGGACTCCAAATTCCGGCGATACCCCTTTTTGACTCAAACACCCACTCATTCACTCGGCACGATTTTTCCCAGCCAACTTTGATTCATCCGTCACTTTCGACATCGAAGGCTTCATTTTTTCAGTTTCTATGAGGGAGTGCTATAGTGCTCCGAAAGATAACCATTATCTTTTGCGTACAAGTTCACTGATGACCAACTATTCTTTTTTGTTTTAATCTCGCTTACATTCCGTCCATGTTGATCAACATCCGGCTCCACACTTGACCGCCTTTTAAGTTCCAGGAGGTAACTTGTTGCTTTTGTCTCGCTTCACCCATCCACGTCTTTTTGTAGCACATCGAATACAGTGCTCTGCGTACGAGTCCAATTACCTTTTAATATCCGCGCTTCGCGTACCGTCTCGGACTAGTATTTACTTGTCCTACAACCCACAAAATATGTTTGTCAGAGTCGCTAACGTTTAACGGGTTAACCAAAGCATAAAATATGACGTTGATCATGGGCCACATAAATTCATTGGGCGTATTCGGAAACCTTCACTGTTGTATTGGATTCGACACTGTCTCACAGCTAGGTCAATCTTTAGAAAGACCTGATGTTTAAGCGTTAAGTCAATAAACGCCTCAAACAATAACAAACCAAAGATTATGGTCGACTCTTTTAAACCTTTTTGATGAAACACAGCACATTAGCATATGTATTAAATAATAGTTTAATATTCGTTGCAGAGTCAGCAGCAAATACCTAGACAAAGAACTGCTTTTCAAGTAAATCAAGTTATCAGTTAATGTATTGACGACATTCGTTTTATTAAACGCACTGGCGCTTATCCACATAGTTGCACATTACCTTGCAACGGTTACTTAATGGTAGTCTAACTCAGTCATTACATTGTAGCACATCGCGTCCATCACATGGCGTCTAGGTATTCTGACAAATTTTAATTATTTTCCATTGTAAATAATCACGTGCGGTAGAAGGCCAGTTAATGCGCAAAGATTTTGCGTATTTTAAAAGTACACATATTACCTTGCTCTTTGGTTATTGCCTAAATAAAGCTTATAACTATACATGTATGATTTCCTACCACGTTCTAGACTTAAACAGTGTCATCAGTAAGCAATCCCAGTGGACCAATGCTACCACTCTAAAGTTCTTTTGTGTTTATAGAATTAACTGCTTCCTATGTAAATGCTGGTAATAATCAACAAGCAAATGTAAAAAATATAAGCAAAGTGGCTAGTTGAGCTTGCAAAAGAAGACAGTTGTAACAAATATTGCTTAATGTGAAAACTTCCAAATGAACAGACCTACTTTTCGAGAATGGGCTGTAATCATAAAAACCCATTTTAAGACGTCGTGTTTGTTCGTGTGTACAGTGTTTGCAAATAAAACTGCAATATTCAGGTGTCTTTGCTTTTCTTTGTAGACGTAAACTGTGTAGTACATTATGCTGATCGGTTTACGCTGAATCAATAAAAATTAGTACTAATTTAAGTGTACTAATAATTTAAGCATGGCACATTGTGAGTTAGGCGGCACTTCCGCAAAATCATCAAAGTTAACCAGACTTGCTAAAGACATTATTCTTCACATAACCTAACACATTAACAACCTTCTAAAAATAGCAATTAACACGTACACGTTTGTTTAAAATTGTTCTCCAAGGTAAATTATTCATTTATGGTTGCTAAAAAGCGGTTGTACCCTTAGACCTGTTATGTCGGCGAATATTACTTGCTAATTAGCGGTAATAAATATTAGATAGGCTGCTTTCTACTGTATTTTAATGGCTTTAATAATAAGTATAACGGAAGCTATACAATGGTATGTTTTTATATTTTCAAATACTGGGAGTTTAATAGAAACCTTATGTTCTCGTGACACATACGAAAACGGAAAGTCATTCAAGGCAGTTTAAAAACGTTTTATAATATACCTATTCTAGTTAGCTCATAAAAGAATTAATAAAGATCAGCAAACGGTTATGTATTTACTTATAAGATCAACTTCATTTTGACAAAGTTAAACATTGAATAACAATTTTGTATACCATGAAATTTTGGTACTTTAGCTATTGATTTTATACTTATGTGGAATATACGAGGTTTTGTAGCCTTAACTAGTGTTGGAGCCTAAGTCAATTTATGCAAATGTCTAAGAGTTTGAGATTAGGAGTAAATCTTACAAGCATTCCCACAGGTGATTGTTGCTCTCGTACCACTGTAGCGCTTATAAATTTATTTATTTTGCATATTACATTCTATTCCTATGCCCAACAACTTATTGTACAATTATTGTACTAGCTGACAAGGTACAGGAATGTTTTTTCTAGCACCCCATTAATTAAATCTCGCAGTCAGATAACGCGACCGAAGTTTCATCCTCCACAATGGATAGGCTGCAGAACTATATTGAACAATTGAACGCCCAAGTTTACGCTATTGCCAAACATCTACATCGCCGTCGTAGCGTATCATCTGGTCGTAATACACGTCCTGGTATGAAGCTTTTCTCGTCAGACTGCTTAGGATACGCAACCCCATCAAGGAAGATATCGGCTGCTCTCCTGCTGAGCTTGAGCTCGGTAAAACGCTCCGATTTCCTGGTGAGGTGATTTTCGATTCCAGAATCACTAGTGAATTGAATCCCACTTCATATGTCGCCCGGTTTAAACATCATATGAGTCAGCTACAATCAAAACCGACGAGAATGATATTGTGCACACTTCAAATTCATAAGAATTTACATGCACGCTGTTCGCAAGCCTTTGCAACCACCTTATGGAGGGCATTTCAAAGTGAGCTCGCGACATGACAAGTATTTCGTTGTGGATCGCAACGGTGCGCGTGATTCTGTCAGCCTTGACCGTTTGAAAGTTGCTTATATGGATGACTGTTCAAGCTTTGATTCGGCTTTTGCACACTCATCCCGCTTGACACTGGTACTCGCACCGGATGTACTCGTACACATCCAACGACAACTAGGCCTACAGACTCTGTCTGTACACCACAGCCCCATACAACACATTCCCATTTTGGTAGGACTAAAAAGACTCCTGTGCGTTTACTCGACTACACATGGTGACATTATCGAGTGTTTTCTCTCTTTCGAACGCATGGGTGGGAGAGCTGTAGCGCTTTTAAATTTATTTATCTCATTGCACATTCTATTCATATTCGCAACACGTCATTGTACAGTGACCTTTTATAGTTGTTTTGACTGATGAATAACACACTTTTTGAAGTTCCGCGGGCTACCCAACATCTCCGTGTGTTCCTGTGTTGTGGAATTCATGGCCTTGTCGATCACCATATTCTGACCAAGTCCATTATCCATTCACAGCCCTCGTTCCGTCCAAGCCAGATTTACCAACTTCGTTCCTCGTTCGTCGGAGCTACTGACGCAAAGTGACGAAGAAGCTGTATGTAGTTGGACTGTTAACCAGACAATGAAACCCCTTCTGTGATTTTTGTCAGTTTTGCTCATACTTGGTCGTTGGTATTTCCCCTTTTGGGTCCCAGTACACTACACCACAAACTACAATACATTTGGAGATTTATTTTAACATTCTGCTCAGTTTATGATCGCAGCGATACAAAGTTAACTTCATGCTCGTAGCAGAAAAACGCCGGCTGCTGTGCTGATAATAAGGTACTAGCAAGATATCAATTTTCACAAAAATCATTGTGATAATTATGGCTAAGGCACTTTACACCAGAAAACAATCTCAAGGTAATTTGTACTTAGCTTTACTCAAGTACGCAAAATGCTACGTGCCAAATTAACTTGTCCTATATAGAAAAGCAGTATCTTAGGCTCTGAATATGTTATATATGTTTATGTGCTGTTACAACATGAAATCCAATTAGTACGAATCCACGGTTGGCCGTAATACGTTACTAGCATATGTAAATTTAATTGCATTTACTATTATTAACAGCCAATTTATCTATTTGTAAGACGCAACCGAGCAATAAGCCTCATAAAATAGTATGGGAACTGCTCTGGAAAAATAGAACTAGAAGTAATATTATCCCACCATGCTATACAGTTGTGCACAATGACCAGCCCAATCGGTTGGACTTTGAATCGCATTGTCCAGGAATATACCCTCAAATATATATATATATATATGGCATTTAGTTTTAACAACAAACCATCTTTTAAGGAAGTAGCTTGAAACTGCTAGTTTCACATCATGTGGTTGTCATCATCATCATCATACGCGTTAGCTAGAGGTGGGGAACACCTCAGCTACTGTGGTTGTAGTTAATAAAATAAGGTTTGTATTAGTTAATTAAGTCCAAAACGCTCCTTTATATTAGTGCTGTTGTAAAAGTAATATCTTGTTATACATTAGTACAGGTAAATAATCTTGCCATTATATGGCAAAAGTAAAATGAGCATTAATACTAAAAGTCCAATAAGTCAAGGAGCAACATTTTACAAGTCTAAACATTAAGAAAGTTTGCTGATAGTATTGGCTAATTAACATTTTACATACATTCTAAAAGCTTAAAATAATATTAATTGTATCAAAACCCAAATGATTTGCACAAATTACAGAGAACCGCTGCCTAAGGTGAAAGGAATGCAGACTAAAGACAGTGTTACAAAGTGAAAAACTGCATGCAAGTATTCATAAAATAATTAACTGATGCCAACTAACTTGCTGTAAAAGCTTTCCTACTTTTGGTTGATATTATGTGGTATTTAATATCAACTTCACAAGTCCGAAGCCTATAGTGTGTGTCAGCCACAAAACAAAAAAGTACCAGTAAAACGCGATAGCGGCATCGAGTGCAATAACAGGCGCTACAAATTAAAAGCATATTAATCCTACGCTTGCTTCTGTTTTTAATGCCTGCATACTGTGAGCAAGGCTGTTGTTTTAGAACGCAACATAAACAGTTTTCTTTGTAACTTGTTATTTTTAAGCCAAAATAAATGCTTATAACTGATTGGTTTTGCTATAAATAGCAGTAGTTTAAGTAAACAACAAAAGCGTTAGATGTGGCTATGTTAATACGGTAAATGACGTTGACTACAAACACGCAGAAAATTAATTAATATAACCTTTTAGTAATTTACAAAAATACTGGATCTAAAGTACGCAAATACTATAAAATATGCAAGGCTTACTTGAACTAAAGATTTCTGCTTAGTACTAGGGTTTGACTTGTTATTACAACTTGAGAAACTTTAGCTAGCTATTTAAATTTATTGTGTAACCACTATTATAATGCAGCATACAAGCCAAAAATTTCCTCCAAACATTTTACATATAGGCAAATCAGCAGTAATTGGTATATTTACAGTTGCATTTGCTTGCAGGTAGTAATAATCCACATATATAATGCCTTGAAGCTTTTTAAAGCAGTAATAATTATGTCTTCTACCCTTAGCTTAATGAAATTCTAACTTAAAGCAACGTATTTACTCGCCAAATTAAATGATTTTATTGCTTCTTGAAATAGTAAACGCGGACGTTCAATAGTTGTGTCTGGATAATTATGTGTCAGGTTCAAGGGTGAAAGAGGTTCAAGGGTATTTATCCACAGAAAGTATATGTAATGACGAACGTACGGTAATGCACGTAATGATGCAACTGTGTCGCCATTTACAAAATCCGCAGCTGTATGTCAAGATTGTAGAGGGTAGTGTCAAGGTAACGAATTGCGTAATTTGACTTTTAATGCAGCGTGTGGTACTTATGGCTTGAGGCGTACATGTACTACAAACAGCGTTAAGTCATCAAACAGTCTAAACGGACGTCTACTACAAGGTTTAAACCTGGAATATGCCAGTGCGTAGGAGTGACCGACGCTGCTGCAGGAGCAGTTGATGCCTTACTAAAGGTTTACTTTCCACGTGTAGATTTTACAAGGTATATATTTCACAGCAGCAATACTTAGGCAAACAGTAAATGTTGAATGCTCCTTTCAGGTTGTGGGTTGTAGCAAACCAACCGAAATTTGTTATCTTGTGTTCAACTTTGCTACTCACTCCTGCCGTGTTGGTTTTTGTTCTAACGCCGACCCTGCGGTCATTTTTACCTGAGTCCGGCTCAGTAGTTGTGTCCGCGATGAGTACCGACACTGACGTACGCCCTCGTCTGCAAATAAACCGCGATGCTTGGTGGTGGGAACGTAGTAGGGAGATGGAGCTTGCTAGGCTCTCTTGAAATATCAGAAAATCGTTTCCATCTCCTTCGAGTCACCGAAGGTGTTCGATCTGGTATAAGTGAAACAATATGCGAAGAGGATGGCACCTTAATCACCAATCTTCAACGACGGTTGGAGCGATGGGCCGAAAATTTTGGCACGCAATTTTGTTGGCCCCAAGCTCCATCTGCTACCTCTGGCGCTCGCGCCTGGGCCAAGCGGTCTACCCACACAGATCCTCTCTCTTACCAGGAACTCGAACAGGAACTCCGATACATGCGGCGTAATAAAGCACCCGGCCCTGATGGTATTCCTCCAGCTCTATTTAAAGATAGTGGTTCTTCGTAGGTCCGATAACTCACCGCTTTGTTCTCAAAATTTGGTCGAAAGAGAAAGTTCCATCTTCTTGGTGTGAATTGTTAGTCGTCCTCATCTTCAAAAATGGCCTGCACACAATTTGCTTCAACTATAGAGGCGTACGCTTAGTCCCCGTCGTTTGCAAGCTGCTGGTGTCCATCATACTTCGCAGACTATCCCCAACGCGCGAATCGTTTCAACGAGAAGAACAAGCTGGTTTTCGCCCTAGTCGCGGCTGCACCGATCAAGTCTTTGCACTCCGCCAGATCGTCGAGCTCCGCCAGGTATATCAGAGGCCAACGGTTGCTGCGTTCCTGGATATCCGTGCAAACTTCGATTCTGTCGATTCTACGGTACTGTGGTAATGCTTATTGAGGATCGCTGTCCCCAAAAAGTTCGTCTCCATGCTGTACGCCCTCTAAAGTCTGGCCTCGAGCAGGGTTAGGACTTATGGCGAGCTTTCGCCTACCTTTGTGATCTCCAGTGGAGTTCGACAAGGCTGCTCTATCCCTCCTTTCCTATTCAACTTTGCTATTGAGGATGTCCTGAAGAACGCTCCGGGCGATTCGTTGTACGCTGGCGTTGAGCTTCTCCCAGGCAATCGAGTTGTTGATTTGGATTGTGCTGATAATATCGTCTTGCTGGGTGTCGATCCACAGGTCGTCAAACTTGCACTAAACCGCTTGGAGTTTAATGTATCAAAGTATGGTCTGAACTTTTCGCCATCCAAATGCAAGGCTCTCTTCCAAGACTGGCAGGTGCCTCTGCCTGCACTTTGTCGACTTAAGAAGTTGCATCACTGCTGGCAGGGCTGTTGGAGATGAGATTTTGATGCGCAGCTCTAGAGCACGTATCGCTTTTTCTAGATCGCGGCACTTGTGGCCTCGCCACGACATTCGTCTCTCCATCAAAGGGCAGGTCTATTGTGCAACTGTTCGTGCTTTACTGTTGTACGGTTGCGAGACCTGACCCATTCGTAAAGTTGACTTGCGCAGGCCATCCGTCTTCGAGCACCGCTGTCTGCGGTCCATTGCCTGTGTGTGGTGGCAGCACTACGTAAGCAATGTGGAAGTTAGACAGCGTGTCTTGGGACGTGGAACTCACTCGCTCGAGGAGCTCGTCTCACTGTATCAACTGCGGTGGTTGGGACACGTATTGCGCATGCCTGTCCAGTGTTACCCGCGTGGTGGGTTGTTTGCGGTTGTTGAACAGGGCTGGAAAAGACGGTCAGGTGGACGGCTTACAACATGGAGAAGCCGCAGGAAAAAGCTGACGAAAGAGTTGGCCTCGGCCGGTTGTTGTCGACTACATAGTTAGGCTCCGAGAGATGCGCATACTTGCTGGTTGAAGACTTTGGAAGCCATGGCTCAAGATCGATGTCAATAGCGGACATGTGCGTCGGTGGGTTGCGATGTCCTATCTTCTTCCAACTAAAAATGAACAAACTGAAAAGCATCCCTAAAACTGTAAGTGGTAAAATAGACCAAAAATCTTTGGTTGTTGTTGCTGTTTTCTCATTATTCATACTGTGTTCCTATTCAGTCATGATTCCGATGGCACAAAATCTGTACCACTGATGGTATATGATATATATATATATATATATATATATATATATATATTGTAGCTTTATCCGTTAGCGTCTTTGTGTAGCCCATCGAACACAGCCCGCTGTGTCCGACTCCAATTGTCTTCTGATATCCGCGCTTACTTTCGCGCACCGTCTCGGACTAATATTTACTAGTACTACACTGTCGTTCTAAACTTTGGCCAAAGGCATTCTGTACAAGGAAAGGTCCATCAAAGGCCATCAGAGGTTCCGATTGACCTGGCTGTTTTGTGCAAGAACTCCGGATAATGGTATAAACATAATGCACACATTTAGGTTCGACCGTATAAACAGTGGAATTCTCCATTTTCATACACTGGCAAAATTGAACAAATCCTACCAAATAATTAAAGCATTGTTTAAAACGTAACCTCACTCCACCGAGCACAAGGAAGTAACTCAAAGCTTTGCAGCCAAATTATTTTTAACTCAATATGCTTGAGCTGCTTGCTCTTCTCAGTACAATTAAAGTAATCAAGGTTTGTATCGTTATGAGGATTGCAAGCAATTATACTTACCAATTAGTATACAAGTAATTTAAGAAGTTAACGTTAACAGTTGGAACACGTGCAGCTACAGTGACAAAAAGTCAAATGACTTGTCACTATGCCTTTGACTTGCGGTAGGCGAATGGCCTTCAGCAACAGCTATGTTGTGCCATTTAACTAACTGTGTCCTTATTGCTTTATAGTAAGTGTTTCTGCTGCACCAAAAAATATGCGTAACTGCGGACAAAATATTTGTTAGCAGCAACTAAAAACCAAAAGTAAAACTTAATTCGTGGATCCCTAAAATCAATCAACATAAACAGGACACGTACAAAATCCCTAGCGAATAAAACACGTAGGCTAATGAATCTACGAAAAATCATCTGACAGCAATAGTCCATCCTAATTTAACGGTATGGTCACAAATAAATTATGTATATACTTAAGAATTGATAAAGTAAATACAAATAATGCACTATATTTTTGTCAGACTGACTTATCGTTATCAGTCTCATATTTTCCCAAATGATTTTCAGCTAGAAATTATTCGAAAAAGAGAAAATCACTTTAACAAGCAGCGTAACCGTTATCAATGCAACAATACAGCATGCTAAGGCTATCGGTACCTACCGAACGTGGAGTAACCCAACTGCGTTTTATATTACTGATGCGTAGTGTGTTTCCTCATTACCAAACGCGTAGCGCTTACAAAAGTCCATTTACAGTAAACCGTTTAACCATTAAAACAAGTGCGACTGTTATCGTAGGTTTATTATATTAGTACAACGTCTTAACTTTTAATAACATACTGTCTAAAATAAACATCATTTTTTCTGGTAATCATGATATTTGAAGGTCAACGCTGGATGTCGTAGATCGGAGCGTCGGATCCGCCAATCGCGACGAATGATCTTTTGGCAGGGTGATTGTGGTACACAACGTTGTATGTTTATGAATGAAAGTTAGGGTCTTCCGATGCATGTGTGTTTATTATTATGTTAATATCTTTGTTAATATGTTAAGAGGTGGATTAGAGATCAATAAATTAAACGGTTTAAATGGGCTACGCTGGTTACTCATTTTCCCGCTTCTAGCGAAAGCAGCCATGGTGGATGACTCTTGTGCATTCCGACGTATATTTAACGGTCCATATGTGGACGTTTCATCGGTGCATGCGAATCTGAAACTTTTTCAGATGGAAACGGCGACATCGTTCATACGTCGGCGCGTTAAAACTGCGAAAGCTTACCAATGAGAGACTGGACAGACGGAGTGGAAAGATGTCAGTAACTGTATATTCCGTTTTTGTGCGTGCATAGCGAGCGATCGAATATTGTTAGAAAGCGGTAAGTGTTGCATATCCGTCTGATGAATATATTTTGACAGGTACCGGTGTTACTATTGCCCTGCGCAGTTCACAGCGGTTTTTAAGGTAGAGTGTTACGTTATTGCAAAGGCCTGTCCTTGCCATTCGCACAGTTTTCACGTGGGGATGCCTAGGCTGTAAGGCGGAAATCGGCAGCTAACAGCGGATAGGGAAAGCATAGTGCTTAACTTAAGAAAGACTTTTTGTCGCACGCAGGAGATGCGTGCATTTGTGCGTATTCAATGTAAAATTCGTTTAACAAGGCGCGATTTGTATGACATACGGCGGCGTCATCGTAAGGCTTGTGTCATGAAGTAAAGGTATCTACGCAGCTGTCGCGAAGAAATGGTCAGCAAACACACTAGATTGGGTAACGTCCCAGTTAACACCCCAAACCCACGACCGCGCTTACTTTGTGTAGTCCCATCCACCCCAGAAGAACGCAACGCGCTGTTGCGATTTGCCTTCAAAATGAAGGGTACTAATGTTAGCGTTCAGTCAGACCTCCCATTAGCGGATAGGCTGAAGCTAAAAGAGGCCATTATAGACCTCAAATCCAGGCGAGCGGCCGGTGAACAAGGTCTCCGGTTGGTGGATATTTGGGTGGTCAGCCGGCGTTCCGTATCCGCCCTACCAGTGCCATTACTGGCAGCACACGACCCAGTGCTGGACACTACGAGTACCTTCAAGTAGTGCTAAGCAATGTGCGCAGACTAAGGAATAAGATGTGCGAGATAGGTCTGTTTGTAGATGGCTCCTTCCGATATATTTGCATTCACTGAAACGTGGCCGTCTCGGGACATCACGGACGGTAAAGTACATTTATCTGACTACGCACTATTTATATGTGATCGCTTCGTTGGCCCACAAGGCGGGGGCGTTGCGGTTTACGTTAGCTGCGGACTTGATGTTTTACGTACCTACATATCTCAGTCGGCAGATAACAATGTCGAAGCTCGCTCTGTAGTGATTGGCACTTCAGTTGTACTTAAGTATAGACGCCCCAGGAGCGCGTCAAAAGAGGTGATTGCCTTTGTTCACTCCAAAACCGCAAACAGCTGTTTGATGCTGGGGGATTTCAATCTACCAGAACTTTGCTGGTCAGATCTTTCTTGCAACTTGGCGAGAGTTACTTTCGGTGCAGATCTTTCTGAGGTTACGCTACAAGTACCGTTGCATCAGTTCGTGGAACTCCCCACTAGATACCTGGATGTCCAACTACCGTTTATTTTTGACCTTTAGTGCCAACTCACTAGGCTTCGTAGGTGACATCACTTACAGCTCTCTCCTTAGGTGTCGTTGATCATGTTTGTTTATAGTTCAGGTGTACTCTGACCAGGCGTCACCCGAGCATCGTTAAGCCCTTTCCAAACATATGGCGTGCTAACTACCAGTAAATGCGCATCAAGGTATCTGGTTTGCGTTGCGAGGTCTTGGTGGTTGATAATGATCCGGCGGCCTGGGACAAATATAAGTCGTATTATGCTGTTTATTGAGGGCGCCGACAGCATGGTGTTTGACGTCTGCAACTGAAAATAACCCTAGCTTGAAGGCGGAGTATTACGCAATGCCGGCTGCCAGCGGGCGCTTGCAATTCAGCTGCGACGGGTGCTGAAATGACCGACATGAACCGTGGGTTTATGTTAAAGGGACGACGCACTTGTTTCCAGTTGGCGAAGTGTGCAGCACTAACGGTCGATGTTCACAGACATTCAACGCAATGTTAATGTGATAGCTGCGACGTTTTCGCTCTCCAGAGTCACTGATCTTAGCACTTCCATTGAAGGTCAGCCTGCGACAGCAGCCATCGTAGCACATGTCCAGGACATTGCAGTGCACACAACTAGGGCCATAGCCAATTGTGAAGCTGAAGTGCGGTATATGGAACCCATCGGTGCGTACAGAAAACAGCTTCTTGCTAAACTTGAAGGTTTTAATTGTTTCGGTATTGGAATATCTAATGTCTTTACCCGGTACGCCATCGACAAGTTCTTTGGTACGGAATTTCTCACAAGCACTACTTACCGGTTTTGTTTGCAGTCAATCGCGACTTGTAACGGCAAGGTGGGTTCTGACTGCTTGTTTTAATCTGTTCCATACAACACAGTGTCACCGGCCTCTACTGCGTTTTGCCAGAAGCGAATGCGGTCCAGAACCGCCTGTAAGATAACAAACGGGCTTGAAGACTCGAAAAGACCTATGACAGTGTGGCAAAAATTACACATAAATAAATAAATAAATAAACTTTTATTCCCGACAATGCGGGGCACACCTTTACAGGCATGATCATGTTTAGCTAACATAGTGTGATCAAAAATGTACAAAAGGTACATGTTAGGCATAACAGTGTATCTAAGTGTATGGGTGCATATACGTATGTACTTGTGTTTGAATGTAGCTGGTATTTTTGAATGTGACACAGTATTTTTGACCTTTTGTGAGAATGTGAGAATAAGCGATTGATGTCCGTGGGTTGGATAGCATTTTCCGGATATCCACCGGCCAGTGACTTTAGTTTGTGGCGATGTACATCCGCCACTTCGAAGTGTTGATAAGCAGACATATGTGGCTTTTTATAGGGAGAACGGTTACCAGGCGAAAACCCATTACGTCCTGGAACACTGCCGCCGAACTATTTGCTGGAACGGGTTAAACCCGAACCACCCAGCAGGCACCACGAGGAGGTTGTTCGGCTAGGCAGCCATTAATTAAACGTAGCTTGAGGGGATAAGAACTGTCTCCAGCGACAATGATGTCCCACTGATTAAACGTACAAACAAAAACATGTAGGAAGCACAGCTACGTCGAGATATTTTCACGGGAGGCAGTTTTTTACTTCGTTAGGCAGTAGAAACAACGGATGTCCTCTCTGCTGTATGAATGTTGATGGCTTGTTAGGGGCTTAACTAGCGCATGACCTAAGTTCTTCCGTCTAATATGTTAGCTGTTATTGTCATGAAGAGGTCTAGCTTAAGGCCAGTCTCCTTTAATGTGTTAAACACTAGTCCGCGCATTTTCGTTTGATTCTCTCCAAACAAGGGCATGGCAAATATTACTCGCGGCTTGCAGGAGTCCTAACGTGTCTTATATTTGTGTTCATGGGTCCTTTTCACTAAATGACATACATAAACTAAAAGAGACCTACAAGGATATCAAAGATAGACGAGCAACCCGTAACCAGGCTCTTCGTTTAATAGGCATTCAGGTAACTAGCCGACGGTCCATTGTGGCTTTGCCAGCGTTCCTTCCGGTAGCGCAGGACCCAAGACCAGCACTTACAAATTCCTTCAACTTGCGTTGTCTAATATATAAGATTTGGTTGTAAAGTCGCCTACTCCAAGTAAAGGCGCAGTTCCGCAAAATTGGCTGTCTCAGCATATCGCAGGAGACGAAGCACACATACCTAGATCCGCTTTATATAAGAACTAAATAATGTACCTTACTTTAAGGTGCAACTGCTCCGTCGTCCTTGCGATTTCTGTGGGTTGCAATCTGTAGGCTACCAAAACCCGCTAATAACAGTCCGAAGACAAAACGGTTGAGAAGCTGTCAGTAGTATATAGTCGTCCCTTCACTCAACTTCTAGTTATAGATAGGTAAAGAAGCGCTAAGAGTGCAGGCAAGAAGGCGCTTTACTCTTTCGTCCTCCGTCCGCAAACAGATGTTGATTGCTGGGTGCTTTTGCCCTGCTCCACATTCGCTGGGCAGACCATACTTGCAACTAAGTGTTGGCTACGTTTTACTGCCTATATTTTTGTGTTTAAGCCATAAGTATTGTATCAGTTGATACACTTCTTCTCGGCACGTAGACGCACAAATCTCTTCTAATGTTAAACATGTGTTCATTAAATCCTGCGAGTTTGGCCATGACGTTACGGCTACCTACTGCGAGCAAGTTGTCATGATCTTTTTCGCTTCATTTCTATTCTTTCTAGACCCTACCAGGAAACTGACAAGTTACATCCAACCATGCGACACCACAAACAGAAACAAGAGGATCCAAATTTTTCGGTTTGCGTTATGAGAACTCGGAGGACGATACCGCCCTGGCTGCTTAGGACACGCTTGCATCCCAATTCACATAGACCTCTGTACCCTACATCTCACTCACGAGGCAAATGGAGGCCCGGACACAGCATGTTGGATGGATTCCACTGACGGGCACCAGCGCACGAAGTGTTCTAAATGCTGACGGATCTTCTCGGACGCTCCATCCACTGGTAACTGTGACTGGTACAATTAGGCTAGAAAGAATTTTAAGCAACACTTACGGACTGCAGTGTTCATGTTCTGGGATGGTCTATCAGATGGAGTTTCAGAGAACCAATAAAACCTCTGGCATATGCCAATACCGGTT